GGCTTCTTGTCATCTAATTTTAGCTCTGTGAGTCCGCCGCCCTTGCCCTGAATGAAATATCTCAAGAACTTTTAAATGTGTTGCCATTAGATTTTGAGCAGACATTCATAGTCCCCAAACTGTTGACTTAATGTTGACTTTAGTGAATCTTAGTCTAGCGACACCATGAGGTTACAGTTTGTGTTGTTTTTTTTTAGGTTTTTTAATGCTTACACAACTGCTAGATTGATTGCCATAAAATTTGGCACAAACATTTAGGTCTCCCTCGGGATGAACTGTGGTGGTGATACTTTAATCATCAGGTCATAGCTTGAACATTAACAATGGTAACTGCACACTTGGATTATATTCAGAAACCTTTATTCATGAGTTAACAGTATCTATAGATGATATTCTAACAATTGTGTTTGGCTTATTAGAAAGTGTGACACCTGTGAGCCTTTATTAATAACTTATTACCATTTATAACTGCAGACTTTATGTTTTCCACGCTTTACAACGTCGTATACATTGGCTTTTTTGCCTTAATTGGAGATTAAGGTAGACAGGAAAAGGGAAGAGAAATAAAGGGGATGACACACAGCGAAGGGCCACAGGTTGGACTCGAACCCACGGCTGCTGCAGCAGGAATTCAGCCTTGGTACATGGGGGGTCCAGCTCTACCAGGTGAGCCATTAGGCCCCCCCTTGTGATAACTGCCCAATAAGCCAACGGACTATTAATAACTCAACGGTGAGATACAACCTAAGAGCTCTTGATCTAATAATTTATAACTAGTTTGTTTGATTGATCTATAAAGCCGCTCCATCAGTCACACCTCTTCATAAAGGGCGATTTATTTATATAAAATGGGACTCTTTCTTCAGTCTGTTTTTGCAAATCGCTTCAATGTCTTCAATAAAATGAAATAATCTCATTACTCTGTTTTTCCAGCTTGTTGTTATTAGTGATGATTTTTCTTACTCGTAGTTCCCTCCCACTACATTTAACTTTGGAAAGTCTCCCTTTTTCCCCCCCTCTTTTTTCACTGTCAACACGGGAATGTGGAGCTTTATCTTTCCATGAGTTTCAGGAGAGTGATTGTTGACATGAGTGGTTGACTGACCCTGCTGGAACTGCTACATACAGCCCTCATTTCCTTTCTGCGCCCAGAAATCTTGACATAACCGAACCAGTTATGGGTCGGGTTGCCAGGTCCAGAGGTTGTGCGTGCGCAGTATTCCCCACAGAGCTGCCAGTACCAACACCTCACCATAACTGCTGTGTGCTTTTATCCTCTCCTCGTCTGAATATGCAGACATATATGAATATAAGAGACTTTTCCTCCCTTCTTTGGGGGCGTCACTGTCTCTCACAAAGATAACAGTGACAGCAGCGCCGCGAGAGGCGCAGCCCTGTCCTTACGAATGAAGACAAATATCTCCCAGCCTTGAGCCAGATGTGGCTCTGACCCCAGTGACCTTCCCTTTCTATATACACAAGCTGGATGCGGGGCAGAGCTCGTCTGCTGATGGGTCTCTCCATGACGGGATGGAATAGAGGGAATAGCAGCTTACATGTATAATGAGATTAACCTCCCAGTGCAAAGCTTCAGAGAGACAGCAGACGCACTGGAGAGACTTCTGCCTGCAGCTTGTTAGACTCTTTGATTTTTACAGTGCGTTTATGTGTGAGATTCAATCAACTGAAGAAGAAAAAGGGCTCTTTTCCAACAGATGACTGATTTGTTTGATATAAATTCTGACCTTAAACCTTTGAACACTGTTATTAGCGATGCACCTTCCATCTCTGTTGCTTGGTATTGCATTATTCCTTTTCCTGGAGATAACTGTTGAAATACAAGAAACGAAATGTCACATCAATATGTTTGAGAAGCAAGGGGGGTTTCAGAAACTTAGGTGTGTTCATATTATCTCCATATAAGGAGGACAGTGTTTATATTCACATTTTGTTCTGCATTCTCATGCCCCACGATTCTCCAAAATTCACATCCATGTCCCAGAGCCACATTTTAATCACTTACAGCTTGTACAGCTTGCTGCATTGTACTGTACATAGGTTTCATGTTTTCTTTTGGCTAGATCTGCTTCTTTTCTTTCTTAAACAACTGTCAGAATCACAGAGGAAGACTTTATTCTAGATTTAACCTTTTGCACCAACATTTAATAATCATACAGGCAGAAATCAGTCATAGAGGAAACATAGAGGACAGTTTTAACATGGATAGCAGCCACAATAAACCAGAAGGCAGTGCAGCAATTTGAAATTTTGTGTTCCATATACTAGGTGCCAATTTTATTCTGTTTTATACAAATACAAAGATAGAAAACACAGTTCTATGGAGCTGAAACAATACAATATCCTGGACAGTACAATGTACAAAGGCTTTCACATATTCAAACACTCGCACAAAAACAATACAACATATAAAACATCTATTCTGTATATGAATAAATGCCTATAGGTGCAAGTGTTGCTTGGGAAAACCTTTTGATCTCTATTCAAAATTTAATCAGCAGCTGAATTCAAGAACTTCTAATGGTTTTTATAGATAAGAGATGTTTGAATATGTTTGTATAACAAAAGTTCAAGTGGTACTCCAGCAACATAGTATTGCACTTCTGTCATGTCGAGGAGATAAACAGATTTAAAAGGTCAAAATGAAATCAGTGAAGCTCGAGATATACTGACTTTTGGTTAAATCAAGCTCCAAAACCACTCGATCCTACGTTTGCCATCATGCAAAGCATATCTTATTACAACCCCCCCATCCTAAATGCTCCATTCTTAAAACAGGGTTCCTGTAAATGTATGAGAAATAAAATCACATGAGGCAATTTCAGTGCAACGTTATATAAAAACCAATTAAATACCATGTTTCAGTGCAAAATAATTGCTTGAACGCATCACAGATTAATGACATAATAGTGTGCGGCTGCGGATGGATTTCCCCTTCATTTATTGATTTCCTTGTACTCAGCGTTGCCCACCACCACAAACATCAGGAATTAGGAATGCCGTTTTCCCTCATCAGAAACATAACTATAAAGAAACCTGATCCAGAGTCAGCGGGGGGCGCTGCTGTTTCCTGATGTTTGTGGTGGTGGGCCCAGCTGTGTGGACGCCTCACACACACAGTATACTGCTGTTAGGTGGGGTTGGATGAGCTCATACTGTGGGCTGTTATGTTTCTTCTACTGGAGAAGAAATGTTCAGCCTCCTCAGCTCTGTTATGCCTCTGGGGTGTTATTGCTCGGCTCTGATTTCTGTGCTGGTCTGTGCAGCAGTTTAAAGGCCGTTATGGATTTTGGAGGGGGGGGGGTCCTCTCAGTCTAATGTATTCTGACATTTTTTTTAACGCCTCTGATTTATTCGCACACTGAATAAGTCATAGTTGCAGAGGTCATCTGTGCAAATCCAGAATTAACTCAGGAGGAGCTGAATATTCATGATGCTGGTTTTCAAAGACCTCCTTTTTTTTTCTCCTCACGATAAATTCAGCTGCATTGCTTAATTTGCTCTGCGAGCTTCAGGCTCTTAATTTAAATGCATAATTTATAATGCATAGGCAGAATAATGAGTCTTCTTATACAGTGAGGATTGTAAAGGTGCAGATTTCATTTGGAGTCTGGCTGGAGGGACGGAAGCAGAAAACTAAAGGGTCAGTTCACTGAAATGAACATATCTTCTTATTTACCTGTAGTGGTATAGACATACAAGTTGATTTAGTTTAATTTGTCCGTTTTTATTGAAACTACTTGGAAGCAGAAGTGTCAGAAGCAGATAAATAAAAAAAAAACTGGTAAATAAAATATGGGAATTTATGTGTAACTCTGTTTTAGGAATGCAACAATATAAACTGATAAGTCAGTGACAGAAAATGAACTATTTTGAAGATCAATGAAATAGTTTTTCAAGCTGCTGGTTCCGGCTTTTCAAAGGCGATAATTTGCTTGTTTGTCTTTGTAAACTGAAAAACAAGACATTTGAAGGCATCACATTGGACTCTGAGAGACTGTGATGGACATTGTTTTCACTACTTTCTGATGTTTTATAGACCAAATAATCACTTGATTAATTGAGAAAATATTAACGATAATAAAAATAACTATTTAGTTGCACTTTTTTCATCAGTTGTTTGGAGCAAAAGATAAGAATTCTGACTGTTTCTCATTGGCCAGCTGAATAAGTCACAAATTGACCTCAAAATGACTTTTTAAACAATGATGGAAGAAGTACTGAGATCCGTTGTGTATGTAAAAGTAGAAATAAAGTAAAAATATTCAATTACAAGTCCTGCATTCAGAATGGTCAGTGTGATATTAGACTTGCAATAAGCAGTAATTTCATGTTGTTGTGGCCACATTGGAGCTACTTTCATTGCTTTATATACTTTTGGGCAGTTTAATTTTTAACAATGCATCATTTTTAAAAAACTGATCATATGTTGTATTTAAAAAAAGTAAAATAATTCCCTCTTAAATATAGTAAAGTCTCAGAAAATGGGAGTAAGCCTGCTCAGATAAAGTGTAAGTAATTCAAAATTGTAGTTAAGTACACAGTTGTTGAGTAAATGTACTCTCCACCATTTAATGCTTTTAATGCAGACATTACACTAGGTGGTTGAGACAAGGGGAAGGGCTTTGTGTTTTAAAGGGAAAGAAGTGATGTTCTTGTAATAAAAACCAACCAAAACCTGACAAAAGGGAGTTAAATCAGAGGATAATAATGTGCATCAGAGGTTAAAATGACCAGAAGTGGAGAGACACGTCTCTCATCATCGGCCCCTTCCCGAATGTCTCCCTCCTGATCTGCACCCATATGTGTCTGAAATCAGGACCTCAGCTGCTGGATGCAGATTGGACATCCTCTCCTCGCTGTAGCCAGTGGATGGATGATGTGTGAGTGTGTGCGTGTGTAGGTGTGTGTGTGTGTGTGTGTGTAGGGGGATGATATGACTCGGCGCTAGGACCGTGGCTCTGTCAGTGCGCAAATCCCAGCAGAGAGGCAGCGCTCCGGCAGAGAGCCTGTTCGAGGAGAGATAGAGGCTGTCTGTCTGCGCTGCGACTCAACCCATCACCGGCGGGGAGGCTGCACCTTCTGTCGAGCACGGACCTGAACCAGCCGGGCTCGCCTCCAGAGCCCTCCATATGGGCTCACCATGCGCAGGATACGGGCCAACGCCATCGCGATTCTGACCGTTGCGTGGATCCTGGGGACGTTTTATTACCTGTGGCAGGACAACAAGCCCCAGTCGTCGCCGTCGTCGTCGGCGTCTCAGACCCGCGGCAGGGGCCATGGCCAGAAGGTGGTCTCCGGTCGGCTGGAGATCCACCGGGACGACCGGACCATCCCGCTGATAGTGAGTTGAGCGCGGCTGTGGGGGGGGTTAAAGAGAAAGGGGGGAAAGGAGAGCGGCACTGCGCACGGCGCTGTCGCTGGAGGCGCCGAGCTGCAGGAGAGTGTGTGCTGCATGTTGATGTGTATGTGTGTGATAAACCTGGGGGGTGATGAGGATGGTGGTGGAGGTGTTGGGTGATGATGCACAGCTGGGTGTCACAGCAGGAAATATGTTGCTTCTTTTTTTTTGACGGACATGCTTTAACACGCATCCATCTTCAGCCTCCTCCCGTGCTGCCACACCATGATTATTCCACAGGCTGGAGAATCGGCAGCCAGCTTGTGTGTGTTTCTCGGTGTTTTCCTGCCTTTCTGTGCTTTCCCCCGAGCCCGAGAGAACCTCGAGTACACGTAAGAGGCTTTCCATAAGTCCTGTGCGTCGTGCGCAAAACGCCTCGTAAACCATATTATGCCGAGACCTCTCTCGACTTGCACATGTGAGGTGAAAAACACGCGCTTTCAGGCTCGGACAGGGCGCGCAGCAGGGGAGGCATCCTTGCTCAATCGCCTGTGCACTTGAGTCTGTCATTAACGGCCTATTTCAGTCGGGTCAGGTCTGTATTCGCCTGTTGTTGCCTGCGCCAGGGCGGAGGAGTGAATACAACCCCTGGTAAACACTCTAACTGTAGGTGTGGTGGTCGTCAGTGTTGGGTTGCTGTAACCTCTCCAGGTTGCAACACAGCATAGAGTCAGAGTCTGAACGGTGCATGCTGGGACCGTAACTGGGTCCACGCCAGCTCAGATTAGGAGATCTGGTCTACTTGGCTGCAGGGTGTTCCGATGCATTAAGTGTAAAGAAATACAAGACCTTTAGCCTGTGCTTTTACCAGAGACAAAGTGAAGAGGACTCTAGTGCTGCAGGATAATTGATTAGTCCAAAGACTGACAATGGTTCAACTGTGATTAAACCAGGCAGAAATACAAAGTTTTTTTTAGTGTTTCCAGCTTCTCAGATGTGAGAAACTGCAGCTTTTCTTGTTTTATATCACTGGTAACTGAGTATGTTGGTCGGACAAAACAAGACTTGTGAAGATGTTACCTTGTGCTGTGTCTAAATGGTAAATTAACTGCATTAACAGAATAGAAATTGTTTTTAACTGAAACAGGCCTGTTATAATGTCCCCAGCTCAAGGCAGTATGTTGTTTTTTATATATGTATATATATGTAGCCTATGTATTTGACAAACAAAGCATCAGATCACATTAGAGAAGCTGGAACCAGTGTGTCAAAGAGATTATTCACGCTTCACACTCTTCACAGTTAATCTGACAATCTACAGTATAGACAATTTATGGAATATGACTACATCTTATCAGACGGGGATTCCTGAGACTGCATCTTATCAAATACGGAAATACGGATCTGCATCAATTTATGAGTCCTTGACACCAAAAAGATTGAGAGCCACTGGGTTGATGGATTCGATTTTGTTTTAAGGAATCCCCTGTGAGTCCTTTTTTTAATTTAAGGATTGAAGATAATAATAAAGTCTTCAAAATCAATCAATAATCAAACTGGGATAACTATAAAATGAATGAAAACCGGCTTCTTATTATTGTTCTTTCAGAAAAAAAAGTCATAAAAGTTCAAATATTCTGTTTCTTCTTTTGCCTGGGACCCCGACAACCCACTGAAGGACCCTGTTGGGTTAAGATAGAGAGACTCTGAGAGCTTCATTGAATGTAAAAGTGTTAATATTCTATGAGCACATGAGAGATTTCTAGGGGCAAAAACATAAATCAATTATCTGCTGATTTACCGCTGGTGCCACTCCTCAACCAAACTGACAGACAATTCAATTAAATATGTACAGTTGTGCTTTTGGGAGACAGGGACTTTTGAGGAACGCTTGGAGCCTCTTTCACAATTTACTAGACCAATAAAATTGTCTCAGCTGTGGCCGAGGATGTGTGCCAACATGTCAGGATGTTTCACTCCGGCAGCAGCAGATTCATTAAAACGCTGTTCGCAAGATTAAAAAATTCAAGGGCAAATGCCAAACGGTGGGGCTGTTGTGGCATTCATGCTCACAGGCCTTAAAAAAACAGAAGAAGAGGAAACTGTGGTCTGCATCAGTGTGTGGGAACGGAGGCCAAGAATATGGTGATGATCAGAAGATGCAGGGAAACAAATATGGAAGCAGTTTGAATAATCTTGGTGTTTGATTGTAGTGAAAAGAGAGATATATATCATCTCTCCGGGACAGTTTACGGGCTGCTGGAGAGTCGCAAACAGATTTTCTAATCAGATCGATCCTTGAACAGTAAACTTTGGATGCTGGTGTTTCCAAATCGGGTTATTTTTTTTGTTTGTGTGTGTAATCTTTGATTTGCTCAGCGGGGTCGTTCACCTTTGTCACCAAACTGAGATTTCCTCTCTGTAGTTTGTAATCTGAGCTGCCGCTCGCAGACTGCCAGCTCTGTTCAAGCAGAGGAGGCTGGTACAGGGAGACCAGAGAGACCTGGGTCTCACTCAAAGAGTCTTTCTTTCTTCTGTCTGCCCCCTTCTTTCTTTCCCTCCACCGTTCCTTCCTTCTCTTTCTTTAATCCTTCTGTTCTCCTCTCCTTCCTTTTATCTGTTTTCTTTCTTCCGTCCTTCTCTCCTTTCTTTGTTTTTTACTTACTTTTCTAATTTTGTCCTTCTTTCCCTTTTCCTCATCTTCGTCCCTCATTCCTTTCTTTGTCCTTTCTTTCATGCATTAATTCTCTCTTTTTTCTTGTCTTTCCATCTTCCCTCCTTCCTTTATATTTTTATTTTCTGTCCCTCTTGTTTTCCTTTTTTATTCTTTATTTCCGTATTTATTTCTTCCATCTTTCCATCTTTCTTCCTTTGTTGTTTCTTTCTTCCTGCCCTCTTCTCATTTTCTATCATTCCTTCTTTGTCCATCTCTGTTCATCCTCCTCTTCATTGTTTGTTTCTTACTTCTTACTTTTGTTCCTCATTCTTGTCCTTTTGTTCCACTCCTCCCCTTCGTTCCTTCCCTAATTTTTTGTCTGTCCGTTCATTCATTCATTCATTCATTCTCTCACACTCTCGCTTTTCTTGTCTTTTCATATTCCTTCCTTTCTTCCTTTGATCCTTCTATTTTTCTATAATTTCTATTTTATTTATTTTTCCGTCCGTCCATCTTCCCTCTTCTGTATTCTATCCTTCTGTTCTTCCATTTCCTTCTTCCCTCCCTCTCTCTTTTATTCCTCCCCTCCCTTCTCCCCCCTTTTATGTCTTTATTTTATCCTCTATCTCCTGTCATCGTGTCTGTAACTCTATTTTTAGTCTTTCCTCATTTTCTTTGTCCTTTATTATTCTGTTCCCTCATTCTTTCTTCCATTGTGACTTTCTCATATTGTTTTGTCCCTCCCTTTTCTTTTTTAACTCATTGCTTTCCTCATGTCCTTCCCTCACTCCCCCTCTCTCTCTCTTTCTCCCCCCTCTCCCTATGTCTTTTCCCATAATCCCGTTCATTAGCAGCATTTGATTCACTAATGACATCATCTTTGAAATCTGTTTGCACTGGCTCCACTTTTTCCCCCTCATTTCCTCCGTTGAGTGGTCTAATATCCCAGCACCACTTTCAGTCTCTTTCTACAGAGTGTGTGTGTGTGTGTGTGTGTGTGTGTGTGTGAACACTGTTGTCAGTCTAACGCTGTTGTAACATTCACAGTAATCAGGGGTCAGTCTCTCTCTCTCTAACCTGCACATCTGCTGTCATGGCCTCAACATCAGCAGTGGACGTGTTGTAAACATCTGACCACAGATCAGTTTGTCTTTATCCTCCCTTGTGTTTTAATGCGTGTGGTGAAGTTCCTCCAGCACGGATACAACTAGTGACAGTGACGGTTATACAATATTAAGTTTACCTACTGTTTGATATACAGTAGTTTTCGGTGCATGTCCTCAGATCAGACAGTGAGTGCTGGTTTAAAGGCTCAGACATTTAAAACCCGGCAACAATTCTTTGATTTGACATAAAAACACTTCACAAGAGAACTGGGTTGAATGTGCCGTTAACAATTTCGTCTGGAGAAGGATTAGCTACATTTTCCATTACAGTAACATATACCTAACGTGAAGGTATGACAGTAAATATCCACTGATGCTGAACAGTTTGGTAATTTACAGTTACCCAAACACATCATCTTTAAGTCGGTTATTAATTGCTTTATTTGGCATCAAGTCTTTTATGTCTGTTAGTTTAGGAGATGGAAAGAGTGGTGAAAGAGTTATGCAACCGGTGATCGGAGGTCACAAGCAAAATGGTTTGATGTTTAGTTTGTATTATTCAGATCTTTAAACATAAGTAGAAGTAAAACCACAATGTAAACATTCTCCACACAGTAAAAGTCCAGCATTTATTAAAGTATTATGAGCAAAATGTACTCTAAGTACTCATATCTAAGCTTATCGTTGTTTATTTAGCCATATTATATCTTAGAATGGAAAACATACATATGAATATTATATTCCTTTTCTGCCAATAGATCATCCTAAATGTTATAAATGTGGTAGAGAAGAAATAAGTGGAGTAGAAGTACAGTATAATCAAATGGTACACGTTATTTACAATAGTACTTAAGTGCAATACTGATATGTTCAGTTTTCACCAGTGAATACAAATACATTAATAGATAAAACTGATATTCTTCCATGGATATCTTTATCCAGATCACTACCGACCTGTAATCAGCTCATCTTCGGCTCAAAGCTTAACTCTCTGCCAAATTTAAAGAGAATATGTTCAAATGTTTTTCAGATAACTTGCACATACTCAGATAAAACCACACCACCATAACCTGATAAAAAATATTCAAATTCAGTCCTGTTTGAACTGCTCACAGCTCATTTATGCAACCTGTGATCGGAGGTCACAAGCAAAAATTGTTCGACACCACTGAGTCAAAATGGTTGGTTAGTTTTAAAATAGAATCCTAAAAATGAGCTGTTTTCTTCAATACTCTTGATTT